TCTTATCCTCTGGAGTGGTCTCTGTAGCAATCATGCACACAGAGATGGAAGCGGTCATCCATTTTGCTCCAAACCCTCCATCTTGTATCTCTCTCTCCTTCTCCAAAATCCCCCCTCCCTCTCTGTTGAGTGACATGTGGTCTGTTTGATGCAGAGATCAAAGGCATCAATGCCCAGCGGGAGAGCTCATGGCTATAAACCCCAATTAGCCTGGCCCCCGTATGTCTGCAAGACTCTTGCTGGAAAAGGATCGTAAAGCCATAAACCAAGTCCTTCACTGAGCTCAAAGACATTCCAGGTAGTCATAAACCAGACATCACATTCAACATCCATTTTCCCCTATGATTACATATTTTGGAATATGAAAGACTTACATAAAAAACAGGCATAAATTCAGATCGGACACTTTAATACAAGCCGCCTGATATATTACAAACCCTACCTGACATCTACAGGAGAGCAGAAAATGATATCTCCTTAACTGTCCCAGCAGGTATGTCATATTTCATATCTAGACGTTCAGTAGATGCGTCTGCATATTAATCTACTAGTGGCAAGGCTGCTAAATGCACTGAGAGTAAGTTATGAACCAGGACATCAACTGGGAGGGTTTTTGGTTCTAGCTTGGGTCTCCGCCCCAACACCCTTCCCCAAATGAGGCGATTGGTTATCTGCTGTAAGGAGACATCCTGCTGAGTTCCTATAAAAAAGGCTGTTATGTTTCATTAAGTTAAGCAAAGCTGAGTTGAGCTAAGTTGAAGTTTCTCCCTTTTAACATCAGAACTAACTTTGGGAGATAAGGCACCCTTTTGGCTCAGGAAACTTGATCTGCTTAAACCAGGACATTTGGCAAGTACCTTACCTCCCTAAATTTCTTTCTGTTATCTCTTTGCTGTGTTATTGCTCTCTGTATATTTATATATATATATATTGGCTACATCTTTTTCTGTAAATATTTGTATTGCACCCTTTTGACCCTTTAGTAATATATCTTACTTTCTGAAAGTGTTGAACTGTTTCTAAAGCTCTTTAATGCAAACTAAGAACCCCTGTCTCTGAAGAGCACTACTGTGTGTGTTTAAACTTCTGTATACCCTGCCTGTGGTGACAGTGGTATACAGACGATTATTCAATCATCATTGTCTTATTGCTGATATTGCCGAGTTTCCTCTTTCTCTGTACAAAAAGGAGGTGGTGGCAGTGTGAAGGGTTAATTGCGTAATTAACCTGACCCAGTAACAATCTCTCTCAGACTGCAGGTACATCGATTGTGGTCCATTAGCTGGAAAATCTTTGTGCAGGGTGCAGCTGGGCGTGGCATTGTTGCGCACGTGACAGCACGGTTTTAGATTGGCTAGTCCTTTGGTCACGAGTTTGGTGAGAAGGGCTGGGGTCTGATGCCGCGATCATCACAGTCTCCTTTACGGAAGATAATATATATATGTAGTATTTTATTCTAAAATTAGGCTCAGCAAGCATAAGTGAAAATGACAATAATTACAACTCCCAAAGATGGCCTCCACATACAGACCATGCGGCAGTGGGACATCAGCACTCTTAGCTCCTCCCAATGCGTTTCATGCTCTAGCATATCCTCAGGTTTTTCTTTACCCCTGAGGATGAGCTAGAGAGTGAAACTTGTTTGGTGAAGCTAAACGTGCTGACTGCTGAGAATCTGACCTATGGAGTTCACTTTGTTCCAACTAAATCCCTCTTTTTCACACCATTCTTAATTTTAATGATGTCATACAACTTGGCAAAACCATGTACTCCCTGTCAAAAAATGTAAGCTATTGCTTGTTTGCTATACACTTACTTCTCATCACTTTATTATTTACATATATTCACTGCATAAGCTACAGCAGAGAAATGTCATGGAGGAAGAATATGCTAACATGGACGCTGTAGGCCAGACACTCAGACAAATGTCAGATAAATAGTAGTTCTGAAAAAAAAAGCAATTTGGCAAAAAAAGTACATACACAAAAAGTACATACACAAAAAGTTGTAACTTGCCACAAGGGTGACCGATATTTAGCTCTTTGCTGAGTAACAGGTCCTGAAAAAAATGTTCTATAAATTGGATACAAATGTTTTTTTAAGCACCAACATTCTCTGAAACCCCTTTTCATATGTTTATTGTTTTTTTAAATAGAGCACATTTTATGTTAGCCATTAGCACAATGAATTTCTAAGCTGTTTAACCCCTTTGACACTCAAAGTTTTAAATAAACGTAATCCTCTGGACTAAAGATCAAAAGGTTTTCAACTACCCCTTCCATACCTGCTGGCATAAAAATGATTCATAGAAACAATGACCCTTCATAGGGAGAGGGCATCAAGAGAACTGTGTTGAAGTTCATAGCGGTAACTTAAAATTACATCTTAAATAATAATATTTGTTCTGCTGTCAGTAATCGTTTCATCATTTCTTCAAAGAAACTACTGACAATGTAAAATGTCTGAAAACTTCCTTAGACTATATATCCTTTTATGGTTTATGGGGCACTTATTTAAGGACAGTGAAGAAAGTGTTGAACACTAACAAAATAGTCCCAAAAAATATAGATTAGAATTTAGGAAGTAAATGTCAACTTGAAACAGATATCTTAGTTATAGGTTCAGCCTAGTGACCTGCATCGTCCCCTGGCTATTCCTATGACTAAAACAAAATATCAACATTGAAAGTGAAAATTCCTCAGACTGATTAATATGAGTGTGAAAACCCTGGAACTCAAACAAACAAACGTGTATAAAAACCTATAGAGTGTTTGAGATATAAGTAGTCATTAGGTGGTTTGGTTCTCCAGCATTTACCGACAACTGAAATATCAGTTTTTGTTAGTTTGACTCTTTAAGCTTTCCTTGGACAGCAGATAATCCCTGGAATTCATAAAGTGTGTTATAAGCAGTCTTTAGAATTCTGTTGCACTTCTGCAGAGCAAATGTCAGTTGTTGTGATACATTAACCGCTTATGGACTGCTCCTCGTATATACTGTATACTGCGGCAGGGTGACCAATCTGTGCTAGACCACATACATATACATGATCCAGCATTTCACGTGTGCACCCGCCGTCCCATCTGTGCTGCCATTTGGCACAGCACAAGTCGATCAGCAGGTCCTGGCCAATGATTTATGGCCGGGACCTGTGGATTTGGCTTACCAAATGACAGTACAGGGCTCTGTACATGGGGCAGAGATGTGGCTGTTTTCTTTTCTCCCTGCAAAGTAGGTAAATAATACTTGCTAGGCACACAGTTAACCCTTTGATTGCCCCTAGATTTTAACCCCTTCCTAACCAGTGTCATTAGTACAGTGACAGTGTAGAGTGTTATAACTGATCACTGTATTAGTGTCACTGGACATGTCAGTGTCAATTCCCAAACAGTGACTCTGTTGCCCCTTGGAAGACGCCCGTCAAATGAAAAACATGTATAGGGCAGAGTTTAGCGGTGACATCAACACGCAGGCCCAGGAAGTACTGTGTGATATGCTTGTCATACTATTCTGTTTTGTGAGTACCCACTTGGTTTATTAATACATGGTTATAAACAGTACTTCACTATGGGATTCCCTTGCTCTTTTCTTGATATGTGCTTTTGCTACTGAAACTGGTATATGACAAGTGATCCAGTGACCACGTTTGGGGCATGCCAATCATGAGATAGTGAGGCTTGGGGCTTGCTAAGGTGTGAGAGGAAAAGAGCTGAATCCATCCATTCATCCATCTGGGATTTGTCATCTTTTAAATGCTGATTTAGACCTCTTGAGTTGTGGAGTCTAAGGATTTGGGAAGCGGCATTATAATCACTTAGTGGTTGGTGCACAGATGTTGCATGAAGATTTTGCACACTTTTGGTGGACTTTGATATTTTGTTTATAGGACTTTATTTGTTTGTTATACACTATATAGTATTTTATATACTATATACTATGTTATACACTATATATTAGATGTTTTTTTGACAGCAACAGTTGTCTTTTGATATTTATATGTGAATATCAATGATTGATTTTTTGCCAAGTGCGGATTAAGCACAATATTAGTTCCCAACCAGTGCCAGATTGCCCTCACACTGTTACATTCCCACTATAAGTCTCTGATCACCTTCATTACTAGTATAAAATAAATAAATTATATATACCTTCGTCTGTGGATGCTATAACTTTCACACAAACCAATCAACATACAATTATTGGGATTTGTTTTGTTTACAAAAGACATGTAGAAGAATATATTATGGCCTAAATTTATGAAGATATTTGATTTTCATTTTGAAACCTTTCAGGCTTTTTTTCTTAATATAATAGAAAAAAACACCACCAAAAAAGGCTCTATTTGTGTGAAAAAAATTATATAAATTTCATTTAGGTAAAGTTTTGCAGGATCACACAATTACCAGTTAACTGCACGTGCCAAATAGCACAAAATGCCTTGGTTATGAATGGGATAAAATCTTCCAGAGATTAAATGGTTAATGTTCCTTTTTCCTTCTTATTGTTTCATTTATTGAATGCTCCCTAATAATTCTCCAATCCAAATAAAAATGCCAGGTTTGAGATGAGCCAAACTGCCCTGAGTTCAATTCAAACAGGGTTCGGCAGACTTCAAAGAGGTTTGGATGCCAAGCCCACAAATACATACTAAAATAAATGGTCTAAATTATCCAGTTTCTGTACTAATAGGCAAGAGGTTGCAAAAAAAATAAAAAGCATGGGAGGGGTGTTGTCACTGCCCTGGGGAACATGAACCAATGCAAAAAAAAGTATTTAAAAAGTCTATTCAGTCAGGAGCAGTTATTTTTTTAACTACTTAAAGTGAAACACTAAAATTGCCCAATCTCTTTAACCACCACCTCCGCCCGCCATATAGTCTAATGACAGGCACAAGGTGGTGCTCTCGTTCTGAGAGGACATCATATGACGTCCTCCTATTCTCACCGCGCATGCGCGGCTCAGGGAGCGCGCAGCGCGGCGATCGGCGTTGCGCTGTGTCCCTCAGATGTCGGCTCGGTCATGTGATCAGCTGTGTCCAATCACAGCTGATCACATGTAAACACGGAAATGCCGGTTGACAGCTCGAGAGGAGAGGAGAGCCGGTAATCAGCTTTCCGTGGAGGGGACATGTACACTGATCATCAGGGCACTGATGATCAGTGTGCCCTGATGATCAGTGTAGCCCCAGCAGTGCCACCTGTCAAAGTCCATCAGTGCCAGCTATCAGTGCCGATCAGTGCCACGTGCCAGTGCCTATCAGTGCCACATCAATGCCACATATCAGTGCATACCAATGCACATCAATGCCACATATCAGTGCCCATCTGAGCTGCCTTTCAGTGTCATCCATCAGTGCCAGTCAGTGCCACCTAGCAATGCCAATCAGTGCCACCTATCAGTGCTGCCAATCAGTGCCACCTATCAGTGCCAGTCAGTGCCGCCTATCAGTGCCAGTCAGTGCCGCCTATCAGTGTGCATCAGTGCCACCTATCAGTGCCAGTCAGTGCCGCCTAACAGATGCCTAGTAAAGCACTTTGTTCCCATGTTCGTGAGAACAAGGGTCACCCAAGCTCTGAGCCAGGGGTTGAGGGGGTTTGCATGCAGGGGGTTTATTGTAATATGAAAGTCCCCTGTAAAAATAAGGGGTCCCCCAGTACTGCCCCCCCAACATGAATGAGAGAGTCGTACATGGTACTTCTACTCATTTACAAAATTAAATGTTACCTAAAAATAAGGACAGCCAAACATCTGACAAGTACTTAAAAAACAAAATCTCCCAAAAATATTCCTCATTGTAAAGCTTTTGTCAGTCATATTTCCACACAAAGGCAAAAGAAATAAATTTGATAGACCTGAAGCAATCGACTGATCCCAATGCTACGCCTCACTGAATACCAGCAACTATATAAGGGAATGTTAAAATCGTGGGGACATCATTGACCAAATATGGCAATTGCCATATTTGGTCAATGTCATTGCCCAAATACTCACAGTGGCCATATTTGGGCATTGATGTCACTGCTATCCCTGCTTCTTTTGTATATATATATATATACATGTATATATATATATATATATATCAGTCAGGTCCATAAATATTGGGACATCGACACAATTCTAACATTTTTGGCTCTATACACCACCACAATGGATTTGAAATGAAACGAACAAGATGTGTTTTAACTGCAGACTGTCAGCTTTAATTTGCAGGTATTTACATCCAAATCAGGTGAACTGTGTAGGAATTACAACAGTTTGCATATGTGCCTCCCACTTGTTAAGGGACCAAAAGTAATGGGACAGAATAATAATCATAAATCAAACTTTCACTTTTTAATACTTGGTTGCAAATCCTTTGCAGTCAATTACAGCCTGAAGTCTGGAACGCATAGACATCACCAGACGCTGGTTCATCCCTGGTGATGCTCTGCCAGGCCTCTACTGCAACTGTCTTCAGTTCCTGCTTGTTCTTGGGGCATTTTCCCTTCAGTTTTGTCTTCAGCAAGTGAAATGCATGCTCAATCGGATTCAGGTCAGGTGATTGACTTGGCCATTGCATAACATTCCACTTCTTTCCCTTAAAAAAACTCTTTGGTTGCTTTTGCAGTATGCTTTGGGTCATTGTCCATCTGCACTGTGAAGCGGCGTCCAATGAGTTGTGAAGCATTTGGCTGAATATGAGCCGATAATATTGCCCGAAATACTTCAGAATTCATCCTGCTGCTTTTGTCAGCAGTCACATCATCAATAAATACAAGAGAACCAGTTCCATTGGCAGCCATACATGCCCACACCATGACACTACCACCACCATTCACTGAGTATGCTTAGGATCATGAGCAGTTCCTTTCCTTCTCCATACTCTTCTCTTCCCATCACTCTGGTACAAGTTGATCTTGGTCTCATCTGTCCATAGGATGTTGTTCCAGAACTGTGAAGGCTTTTTTAGATGTCGTTTGGCAAACTCTAATCTGGCCTTCCTGTTTTTGAGGCTCACCAATGGTTTACATCTTGTGGTGAACCCTCTGTATTCACTCTGGTGAAGTCTTCTCTTGATTGTTGACTTTGACACACATACGCCTACCATGAGTGTTCTTGATCTGGCCAACTGTTGTGAAGGGTGTTTTCTTCACCAGGGAAAGAATTCTTCGGTCATCCACCACAGTTGTTTTCCCCGTGGTCTTCCGGGTCTTTTGGTGTTGCTGAGCTCACCGGTGCGTTCCTTCTTTTTAAGAATGTTCCAAACAGTTGTTTTAGCCACGCCTAATGTTTTTGCTATCTCTCTGATGGGTTTGTTTTGTTTTTTCAGCCTAATGATGGCTTGCTTCACTGATAGTGACAGCTCTTTGGATCTCATCTTGAGAGTTGACAGCAACAGATTCCAAATGCAAATAGCACACTTGAAATGAACTCTGACCTTTTATCTGCTCATTGTAATTGGGATAATGAGGAAATAACACACACCTGGCCATGGAACAGCTGATAAGCCAATTGTCCCATTACTTTTGGTCCCTTAATAAGTGGGAGGCACAAATGCAAACTGTTGTAGTTCCTTTCACCTGATTTGGATGTAAATATCCTCAAACTAAAGCTGACAGTCTGCAGTTAAAGCACATCTTGTTCGTTTCATTTCAAATCCATTGTGGTGGTGTATAGAGCCAAAAATGTTAGAATTGTGTCCATGTCCCAATATTTATGGACCTGACTGTATATATATATAGAGCACCCATCGCTTCCTTAACAACCATGGACAACTGAAAGCTGTCATATGTAGAAGCCAAAGAAATACCACTTCTATACATGATGTTCATCTCCCACCAAACAGGGACCTGAATGGGCATAAGTTCAGGCATTCATTTGAATGCCCCAAAGTTTAGACTGAACCTAGGTTCCGACCAGGCGCAGACTGACCATTTGGAAACTCGGGCACTGCCCGAGGGCCCGGGGTCAGTAGGGGGCCCCATGAGATGCCCCTGGTACCTTTTTCATAGGCTTTTTTGCATTTGGGCAAGGACACAGGGGCCCCATGATCCCCTATTGCCCGGGGGCCCCATGAGTTGTCAGTCTGCCCCTGGTTCTGACCAAATCATTGGTTCATCCCTAGTAATGTAGTATACTACTTTTGTCTGGGGAAATATTGAGATTGACTTACTAAAGGTAAATAAGCTGTTCACTTTCCAAGGGAAGTTGCTCTTTGCAAATGCTAAGAGTTTAATGAATGAGGTGAAGCACTGCTGATTTCAATTGTCCAATCATATGCAAGTAAAAAATGCTGTTTTCCTATTTTTCTTGCATGTGATTGGATATTTTTTGCAAAGTAAAATTTCTCTGAATTCACTAAGCTTTGGGGCAAGTTCCCTTGCAAAGTGTAACTTTCCTTATAAAGTGAGCAGTGTATTTGCTTTTAGCAAATCAATCTAACTGTGTGACTTGTGATTTGGTAAAGAGGTGCATGCCTCTGTGGTGTCCCTTACATCTCTCCAAAGGGTGGGAAATCTCTTCATTTGGTAAAGAGGTGCATGCCTCTGTGGTGATCCCTTAAATCTCTCCAAAGGGAGGGAAATCTCTTCATTTGGTAAAGAGGTGCATGCCTCTGTGGTGTCCCTTAATCTCTCCAAAGGGAGGGAAATCTCTTCATTTGGTAAAGAGGTGCATGCCTCTGTGGTGATCCCTTAAATCTCTCCAAAGGGAGGGAAATCTCTTCATTTGGTAAAGAGGTGCATGCCTCTGTGGTGTCCCTTACATCTCTCCAAAAGGAGGGAAATCTCTTCATTTGGTAAAGAGGTGCATGCCTCTGTGGTGTCCCTTACATCTCTCCAAAGGGAGGGAAATCTCTTCTTGTAAAGTTGCACCTAAACAGGTATTCTCCTCTATTCCTGTTTTGATGACAACTCAGAATTTTGGATTTTCAGTCCTGGTGAAAGTGGACAGTTAGAAAAGGGAAACTTCCCCAGCTCAGACATAGACAGTAATGAAATCCTAATGGGTTCGAACCCTTCCTTATACTACCAAAAACAATAAAAAGGCTTTGCCTTTTTTTGTATACAGTATTTTAAGTATAAGAACTCTTTATTGAATAAGGCCTGTTCTTGGTTGCAGAATGAGCCTGGATGAAAGGGGGTCTTCTGTGACATGTGCCTATGGCAGAATGATCTCTGAATTCAATCTGCTCTGTAAAGTGCTGCATTACATGGTACTAATTTGTAAATGCATTCAATCAGAGTTAATCACAGTGATAATGATTAGTGATGATACAGACAGTGTATGCTAAGTATTTTCTCTGTAAAATCACATAAACCAACTCTGGTGCTAAACAGAACCTCTAAGAAAAATTTTCAGTATTTACAACCTGTGTGGAAATAACTGCACCGCGTGTACGGTATTAATTACACAGAGAACTGCTATCCCAATTAACACCTTTCAGAACTGAATTTGGTTTTCCCCCTTACTTCCTAATGAGGTTTTTCCTCCCTGCTGTCTTGATACAAAGTTTTATGCCATATGAGAGTGTTCGTATGGTGTTTGAGTGCGTTATCTGACCTTGATTGGTGTTTTGGGAGCCGGTTAAATAGATTACACAGAGGTTTCCTTGACAACTGCCTTTGCTGATCTAGCAATGCCGTTCATACTTGGGCGTAAGACTCTCAATAATTGTGGAATTCCAGTGACTTTATATTAATCATTAACAAAATGTTCTAGGCCCCTCCAGCAGAGTTAGAGGACGTACATTTTATTATTAAAAAAAAAAACAAATGATAGGGAAAAATTTATTTGTACTTGAAAATGTTTTATAATGTTTAAATAAAACCAGGTATATTATATAATATTCTAAAGTGAGATATATAAATAACACCTTTGTCTCTTTCATTATGTATTTTTTATAATAAAAGGAGGTCTGTAAGCAAAATCTAACAACATTCTCACTACATTCCTAATGTTCAAGTACAGTTGGATAAGTTTCTGTGTCTTGTCTGTGTCTGCTTCTATGGGCCATGCATGAGCAAAGTGTTAGCAATCAATTTAGGAAATTCTGAAACTTTGCAATACTTCATGAACTGTCACATAAAGTCAGAGATACTGGGATCATAAGCAGCTTAGAGTTATGACATGTGCATTCAATGGGTTTACTTTATACTAAGGAGATGACTTGGAACCTTTGTTAACTTTTTGTAGCTGCGTGAGTCCCTTTTGGGAGGTTCCCCTCATTTTCTGTTGATGATGTAGACAGTACTTAAATGACATTAAAATGTGTCTATAAATATTTTCACATGAAATTCACACAGCTTTCACCCAATTAGATTTAATTAGAAAATTGTGTAAATCCTCAAAGAATGTTATGTGAATTTTGTGAAAAAACATTTATAAAGTGACTGCCAAA